CAGTGACTGAGGATAAAAAGAAAGGAATGGATGTAAGAAGCATGAGAAAGTAGGGCAGGACTTGGTACCTGGTTGTTTGTAGAGATGCCAGAAGGTTAGAAATCAGCTGAGCAACTCCTAGAAGTTTACAACTACACAGCTGGGAGGAAGAACAGAGTCAAGAGGGACCTTATGAGTTTGAAGGAAATGGTTTATGATGTTCATTTTGATTGAGTTTTGTGGCACCAGATGTTTGTTTGCTACTTATGAACAAGGTCAGCGTTTGAGATGTGGATTTTGAAGGACTCATCCTAAAGATAATGACTAAAATGAATGAAATTGTTAGGGAATAGAGAGAAGAGACCAAATGAACAATATTGGGGAACACTAGCCACTAAAGGACAACCAGAAAGGCATAATGTGTGTTAGCAAAGTTGTAACTGCTTTTGGGTTTCTTCCTGCCTGCTGCACAAATGAAGACCACAGTATCGTAGTAAAGAAAGAGTTTAACAGACACAAGGCTGGTCACGCCACATGGGAGATGTAGTTAGTACTCAAATCATCTTGTGGGTTAGGGGTTCTCTTTTTTTGAGACAGAGTCTTGCTCTGTCACCCAGGAAGGTGGAGTGCAGTGGCACAATCTGTGCTCACTGCAACCTTCGCCTCCCAGGTTCAAGCAATTCTCTTGCCTTAGTCTCCCAAGCAGCTGGGATTACAGGTGCCCACCACCATGCCCAGCTAATTTTTTGTATTTTTGGTAGAGATGGGTTTCACCATTTTGGCCAGGCTGATCTCGAACTCCTGAAGATTCAGGGGTTTTCAAAGGCAGTTTTGGGGAAGTGGCTGGGGAGGCAAGGCTTGCTGCTGATTGGTTGGAGTAGAGATGAAATCATAGGGGGTGTAAGCTATCCTCCGATGGGCTCAGTTGCTTCTGGATGGGGCCGCAGAAGTGGGTTTGGAAGATCCAAGTGAAGTCAGCAATGGAAAAAAAATCTGAAAAGATATCTTAAAAAGCCAGTCTATAATAGTTATATTATTTGCAGGAATGGCTGACAATCTATGTCTATACTTCACAGAATCAGGCTCCAGTCTTCTCCCAGTTCAAGGCCTTTCATTAGCTTTACAAAAGCAGTTGAATCTTGGGCAAGGCCTATTATCATTTAAACTATAGCCTAAATGTCTTCCAAAGTTAGCTCAGCCTGATAGCCTGGTAATAATTAAAGGAAAGGGAAGATGGAGGATGGGTTAGCTCAGATGTTTTTTACTGTCATAATTTTCTCTTTGATATATTTGCAAAGTGAACAGAGATTTTCATGAAAAATAGTGTACCATCTAAGTTAAAAGCATGGAGCTAGACTGCTGTATTCAAATCCCAGATCTGCCACAAGTGATTTAATTTCCTAGGCTCCTACACGTAAAGAAAGTTATAAGTAAAAGTCCCTCATAGGGTTATTGTGAGAATTAAATGTAAGGCGTTTAGAAGAGTCTCTGAAAATGTTCTTTAAACATCAGTAATATGGTTCGGATCTGTGTCTCCACCAAAATATCATGTCAAATTTTAATCTCAGTGTTGGAGGTATGGCCTGGTGGGAGGTAATTGGATCATGGGGACAGATTTTTCCCCTTGGAGCAGTTCTCCTGATAGTGAGTTCTCCTGCTGGTCATTTAAAAGTGTGTGGCACCTCCCCTTTCTCCAGCCATGTGAAATATTGCTCTCCTCTCCCCTTCTGCCATGATTGGAAGTTTCCTGAGGCTTCCCCAGAAGCAGACTCTGCCATGCTTCCTATACAGCCTGAAGAAATATGAGCCAATTAAACATCATTTCTTTATAAATTACCCAGTCTCAGGTATTTCTTTATAACAGTGGGAGAATAGACTGATACAATCAGCTATTGTTTAATGTTATTTGTATAAGATAATTTTGGGAAAATAGATTCAGGAGAATTGTTAGGTCAGCTGCAACAGATTAAGGTCCATGTGAGTAGAAACATAATACCAACTGAGGTAAGGCAATTCTTTCAAAATGTGATGGAATTATGAATGAAAGAGAAATAGTATGGTAGCTTAAGGGGAAACAAAATTGAATTTTTTTAAATAAAGCTTTTGGAATGCTGGATGTGGCGGCTCATGCCTGTAATCCCAGCTACTCTGGAGTTTTAGGTAGGAAGATCACTTTAAGTCCAAGAGTTTGAGACCAGCCTGGACAATTTGTGGGGAGACCTCATCTCAGAAAAAAAAAAAAAAACAACTTTTTGTTTTAGTGATTTCTGAATACCCCATAATACTTAAAGAAAATCATTTCAGTAATTTAGTCCTTAATAAACCCAGTAAATAATAAGTCACTTGTTTTCAACCTTTAGTGGATTTTTCCAGTGGGTAATATTTTGTATTCACTGTAAAATGTGTTTGCGAGAGTAAATGTTAATGCAGCTTTGGTTATGATTTTTATTAGTGATTTGTTTTTTGCAAACTTAAAACCAAAAATGACTAACAGCTGTAAGATGGAAATACAAACATAAACCACAGTGAATTAATTGCAGGGATTTCAATAATCATTTCCAGTATTTGAAATTTTTGGTTTTGTTTTTTCTTTTTATAAAAAGATCTACCTACTTTAAACTCCACTATTTAGATCATAGATAAACTTGTTTAGATTATTCTAACCTTAGTATTTACCTTATGAGTTTAATGATGAATTTCAAGATGTTGGGTTTTTTCAATGTCAATAAACATTTTTGTCTTTTACATATGTTCTTATAAGTGCCATGATATCACAAGTTTATTTTTGTTAAATTGTGGAAAAATTAATTTTGTTTATTAAAACAGTTGGAACTTTAGAATATTTTAATTTTGAATGATTATTATTGTTTTCTTTTATCTTTAAGGACTTCATGATCTTTGATTTTTACTTTGTAAATATTTATGGTTTACAAAGCATTGCATATATATTTTTATCATTCAACCTTCATAGCACCCTTGTCAGTGTTGTCACCCCTCCCCCTTGTAGGTGAGGAAGCAGGTTCAAAGAGGTGGTGACTTGCCAAAGACTATAAATAGAACTGGGTTTCCAAGTCAAAGTTCTAGCACTACTGATGGTTAACCCTTGTTATTAAAATCATTCTGTCGTCCTCCCTCTACTCATACTATGATCTTCCCTCTTTTTTTGCTCAAAAAAGCAGTTTTGCTTTAGGTTTCCAGATGTGTCATTTAAGAAAATGATTAACTTTCCTTAAAGCCCTTGTTTGTAACCTGCTGAGGTCTTCTACCTTCCACCACTCCCCAAAGGGACATTTGCCAATTTCTGGAGAAACTGTTGACTGTCTAAACTGTAGGAGTGGAGGGGAGGCTGGGCATAGTGGCTCACGCCTGTAATCCTAATACTTTGGGAGGCTAAGGCTTGGAGGATTACTCGAAGCCAGGAGTTCATTATTAGCCTGGGCAAAAAAGTAAGACCCAGTCTCTACAAAAAATTAGCTGAGACAGTGGTATGTGTCCGTAGTCCCAACTACTTGGAAGCCTGAAGCAGGAGAATTGCTTCATCCCAGGAGTTTGTGGCTACAGTAAGCTATGATCACGCTGCTGCACTGCAGCCTGGGCAATGGAGCAAGACCTTGTCTCTTAAGAAAATAAAAAACAAACAAAAACCTGTGGGCGGCAGGGGATGCAGGTGTTACTGACAACTAGTGTGTAGAGACCAGGGCACTACTAAAAAATGTACAGGGCAGCCCCTACCACAAAGAATGACCTGGCCCACAATGTGAAGGGAGCCAAAGTTGAGTAATTCCACTCTGAAGAGTAAGACTTTATTTACCTATTCTTAACCTTCAAATCCAAACTCTCCATTTCTTCTTGTATATCTGTAATGTTGTTCTTTCCTCCTCGCACCCCAAATTATTTAAAATCTTGTTTTTGAGGTAGTTTAATGTAAAGGTGATTATCTTTCATAGCCTAGGAATTACATGGTATATTTCGGTATTGTTGTTAAGAATTTACATTAATACTGCTTTAAAAATGTTATAGGTAGATTAGAGTTTTCTGAAGAAGAGTTTATGTTGCTGGCTGGGAGAAGAAAAATAAGATCAAAGCACAAATATTTTATTTCAAACCAACATTTTTAATGAAATTTTCCCTGCTTTCTAATTTTACTTATGTTGAATGCCAATAAAAAATACATAAAGAACTCTGAGCTTTTATGTAGAGCTTTCAGTTTCTGTCTAATTTGATGCTGTGCTAATTTGGCTATACTAGATGTGTTTCTCAGAGTTATCCAGTCCATATGTATTTGAAAAGACAATTTGGTGTTGAATTGATAGTGTCAGGCTCTTCCAAGCAAGGTCTTCCAAAGGAGTATCTCAAAAATATTCCTTAGAATTGAGGTGGTAATGTTATATAGCCTAACAATTGACATGCTATTAAAAGCTTATAATAACTGATCATTAAAATGCAAGTTACAGATTTTACATAAACACTACACATTTTTGCAGAGGTTTTATAATCAGATAATAATTAAAAAAAAAAAAAAAAAGCATATGCTATAGCCCAAACCAGCTCTTAAGAGTAGCATTTGTCAAGTTGGTAATGAACATTTACTGTAGGCTTTAAGAAGTTAGTTTTAAACATTAAAGGCAGATTCTAAGACATGATAAGGTAATTTCAATAATATATCATACTTCAAGATGATTGCAAATATTACAGTACTACCCAAGTTATTAAAGAAATAATAAGAATAGTATAACGTACTCTTCACATTACTGTCTTTATTTTTTTTTTAATTTTGATTTTGATTTTTGAAAGGGAGTTTTGCTCTGTCACCCAGGCTGGAGTGCAGTGACACAGTCTTGGCTCACTGCAGCCTCTGCCTCCTGGGTTCAAGTGATTCTCCTGCCTGAGCCTCCCAAGTAGCTGGGATTACCCGCCACCACACCCAGCTAATTTTTTTTGTATTTTTAGTAGAGACGGGGTTTCACCATGTTGACCAGGATGGTCTTGATCTCTTGACCTCATGATCTGCTTGCCTCAGCCTCCCAAAGTGATGGGATTACAGACATAAGCCACCATGCCCGGCTTCTGTCTTTATTAATTTTGTTTTTCTAACAGCACATGAAAGAGCACAAATTTTGCCAAGTTAGGCATTCCATTTACAGTACAGTTCTTTTTAAAATATGCTTGATAACAAAGTGTTAAATACTGAATGTCTTTTGGTTATGAAGAAAAGAATGGTCAAGCATGAGATTTATGTAAGATCATTTGTATGAAAAAAGAAACTGCAATAGATGCTTGTTTCTCTTAATCCTTATGTATCAATAGTTTGGCAAAATTCTGTTGAAATTTCTTGTCATAAAATAAGTCAGTGGACTTACCACATGAGAATAGATATTTGCTTGTATATATAATACTACCATTATTAATAGAGTTCAAGTATTCCAAATGTAAGGATTTTTGAATCTTATATTAAATGGACATTACCAGTTACTAATTATTACATTCCAAAGTTCCCAAGTTGAACACTCATTCTGCTCAAAACACAACGAAATGTTGCAGGTTGCATTTCCCAGTATTTCACTGGGTTGTTGAATAAACTTATTGCACTGTATAAAGATTTCTTCATCTTTGGCACTGTTGGACAGAAGTCATTTACTCCCACTCTTGAAATTGAATTAGAATGAAGGAAGATTATCTGTTGTAGTAGAATAAAAGAAAAGGTTAAAAATACCCAGTGAATGTAAACGGAAGATACTCTGTAGTCGCCATTTGTTTGTGGGTTTATTCATCTGTTTATTTTACATTGGTTTGAATGTATTTTCACGTAAAGTAGATGTACTCACTTATGCATGTTAAATATCTATTATAACAACTCAAGCTTATGTGTGGTACACGAAAGTGTAAGGGAAGGTCTCCTGCCAAAACCCAGATCATAATGCCTGGTCATTTGGGTCTGTCTCTCTTTCTCTCTCCTCTTTCTCTCTGTCTCCTCTTTCTGTCTCTCTCTCTTCCTTCCTCTCGATAGATAGATAGATAGATAGATAAATAGATAGATAGATAGACAGACAGACAGACAGACTGATAGATAGATATAATGTTTACTTTTATATATACACATATATACACATTTTATATATACATATTTATGTGTATATATACATGTACTTCAGTGCCATATTTACCATAATGCATATAAAACATTAGAAATGATCAGAAGAATGAAATATAATGCTCCAAGAGTTAGGCTTACAATATGATTGTGAAGAATTATTAGCTGGCATTTTCTGTGACCAAGGGAAAGAAGAGCAGAACTAAATTTTTGTAAGTTGTTTTATAGAAAGATCTATCAACATCTTACATGCATATTTGTAATACAGCATCAATAGTTGAAATCACTTAATTTTATGTACACCAATGGACAAATCACAATTTTATAGGCTGTGTGCATATCTTTTTAAATTAAGTTCTTACTAAAAAAGTATGGTAAATAGAGGGACTTTCCTTAATTTTCTTTAACAGCCCTTCTAATTTCTTCTTTGGCCTTTTTTGATAACAGTGAGATTTCTGGGAAATAAAAGCAGCCTACTTAACTGACAGCATTTTGGCATGCTGAAGAGCAGAAGCCTTTTGCTGGCCAAAGTGGGATATTCTCTCTGGCTGTTGTTACTTCTAGATTCTGCCTTTATATCTTAGTAAGACTGATTCGAGCCCAATCATGAAAATTCTAGGCATTGCTAAAACATTTAAGTTTGCGTTGAGTCCCCCAGCTGCTCAATAGCAGTTCCAGGTATCATTTGCCACAGCACTGATCTCACTGGGAATGAAAACCTGCTGGACATCAGTGTATTTACTTTGTGGACATTCATTAAACTGTATGCTTATGACTGTGTTCTTCTGTTTGTGTTATAATTCTCTTCATTTAATTAATGCTAGCAAGAGTAGAGGTAGATTTTAGAGAGACCAGAAGCTGGAAGCAGAGTTGTGGAGCAAATTAAGCAGAAATGACATCAGGGATGGGACAGCTTGAGAGAGGACAGACTCCAGTTGTACTCACTGGCTAACCATACATTCAAATGCAGCATTTGGAAAAGTCAAAGCAAAAGTTGTCACCTTGAGATTAGCACCTGCCTATATTACATTCATTTTGATGGCTTGTATCTCAAAGGAGTACAGTGAATGAACCTTGTTTAAAGATTAGAAAGAAATATGGAGGAGGCAAAGTGGCTTGATGCCCAGTTTTGTTCTCAAGCTCCTTGGAAGATGAAAACTTTTGTTCTTGGAATCTTGGCGAATCGAAAATATTCGATTCGCCAAGGAATGTATGACCCCTCCCAGACAGTTAAGAGTTGTCAAATTAGGCCAGGCACGGTGGCTCAGGCCTGTAATCCCAGCACTTTGGGAGGCCAAGGTGGACTGATCACCTGAGGTCGGGAGTTCAAGACCAGCCTGACCAACATGGAGAAACCTCGTCTCTACCAACAATACAAAAAAGAATTAGCCGGGTGTGGTGGTGCATGCCTATAATCCCAAATACTCGGGAGTCTGAGGCAGGAGAATCACATGAACCCGGGAGGTGGAGGTTGCTGTGAGCCGAGATGGTGCCATCGCACTCCAGCCTAGGTAACAAGAGTGAAACTCTGCCTCAAAAAAAAAAACAAACGAGTTGTCAAATTAGAAGGAAACGATTTCTGGCTGGGTGTGGTGGCTCATACCTGTAATCCTAGCACTTTGGGAGACCTAGGCAGGTGGGTCACCTGAGGTCAAGAGTTCAAGACAAGCTTGGCCAACATGGCGAAACCCCATCTCCACTAAAAATACAAAAATTAGCTGGGTGTGATGGCAGGTGCCTGTAATCCCAGCTACTCAGGAGGCTGAGGTAGGAGAATCACTTGAACCCAGGAGGTGGAGGTTGCAGTGAGCCGAGATTGCGCCATTGCCCTCCAGCCTGAGGAACAAGAGTGAAACTCTGTCTCAGAAAAAAGAAAAAAAAAAAAAGAAAAACATTTCTGATAATTAATAACAACAAATGACAAAATGGGAACTCATGATGCTCCAGATGGTGACTTTTAATTGGTTATATACTGTATTTTTGTTGGAATGCTTAAAAAATATATACATGTCTATCCTCGCACCACACTGATAGCGAAAATACTGGGAGCCTAATCCTCTTGCTTTGCCTTGAGAAATGTTTCCAGAACAAAAGGATATATGACCCTGTTCGATGTCCTCCTGACTAGTACTGCTTCTGCATAGCCACCCCTACCCTAGAAATCTGAAATTAACTGTGCCAGTGGCTTTGCCACAATGTCCTCAGCAGTTTCAACAGGAGAAACCAAAAGATGGAAATGGATCCTGAGCTTTCAGGTGAAATCAATGTAGAAACCATTCTTTTAAAGCTCTCCTACTTCTTACAACTCGTCATGCAACCTGGAAAGTCGCTATGTTTGAATCACCCTTGCTGCTTACTTTATCTTTGCTTGAGATACGCTAAAGAGTGTTATGAAAACTAAAGAAAAGTGCTAATATCTCCTGAACACAAGTAGAATGTTTTACCTGGAGGTATTTCAACTCTGGTAATCCTGAAGGGATTTTTTTTAGTTTATTGTTTTCCAAATGTATTTCTCTCACACGTGGTATGTTAGCAAGACTCCCATTTTCAATATCTGTGATTTTGTTGTTTCCTAGGCCCAGCCTATAAATGATATAAAATGCATCAAGTCTTATACAGATGGTTAGGTGTGATAAAGTTAGCTGAACTAGTTAGAATATAAATGCCTGTCCTATTTTTATATATGTTCACACAAAGATATTTAATAACCTATTTCAGTATGTAACAACCATCTCCCAGTTTTGTCAGAAAATTCTTTAACCTAAATTTCAGTATGTAACAATCATCTCCCAGTTTTGTCAGAAAATTCTTTAACCTAAATTTAACAAAAGAGAAATTTGAAAAGTCATTTTCTTCTTTTCACTTGGTTTACCCCTCCCATCAGTAGACGCCATAATAATGGTGGTTCTTTCTAGTTTTCTTTTCATACTCTCCAGTTGCAATAGCAACTGGTTTAACAGATAGTGATATCTACTAGGGTCCCTATGCACATTCTCCAGGAGGCATCATTCTAAGTTAAAATTTTGGAAACTTTTACCTTTGCAGTTCTTTGTACCGTTTAAAATCCTCAAGTTCCACTGTTGAAATTTTATTATAATCTAAATGAAGCTCCAGTAAAGTTGTTGGTAAGCCTAATAAGAAGAGAAAGATATATGTTGTCAAGTATAACCAAGCCCCCCATTTGTTTACTTTTCAAGTTTCAGATTATGGATTTAGGCAACTTTTTAGGTACCTACTTCTTTTTTTTTTTTTTTGAGATGGAGTTTCACTCTTGTTGCCCAGGCTGGAGTGCAGTGGCATGATCTCAGCTCACTGCAACCTCCGCCTCCTTAGTTAAAGGGATTCTCCTGCCTCAGCCTCCTGAGTAGCTGGGATTATAGGCATGCACCACCATACTCGGCTAGTTTTTTGTATTTTTAGTAGAGTCAGGGTTTCACCATGTTGGCCAGGCTGGTCTCAAACTCCTGACCTCAGGTGATCCACCTACTTTGGTCTCCCTAAGTGCTGGGATTACAGGTATGAGCCACCGTGCCCAGCCTGGTACCTACTTTTTATTAACTTCTTATTATAGAAAATTATAACCATTCATAAAAATAGAAACTAGTATTATGAAGCATCATGCTCAGCTTCAACAGTTATCTCCATTTTTCCTATCTTGTTTCATCTACTCTATTATTTATTGACTTGTTTATCTGTTTTTATTTTGCCGTTTTTTTTTTGGCTGGAGTATTTAAAGTCTAATCTTATACAAAGCATCATTTCATGTGTAAATTCTTCAACTAGAAGTCTCTAACTGACAAGGTCATCTTTCTTTTTTGTTTTATATAACCACTCTGTTAATATCACATCTAACAAAAATTAATTAATTCTTTACCATCATCCAATATAATAAAGTTACTCCAGTTGTCTCAAATGTCATTTTACAGTTGATTTGTTCAAGTCAAGATTAAATGAAGTTTACAGAATATATTTGATTCTTATCTCTCTTGAAATCCCTTTTTTTTTTTTTTGAGACCGAGTCTCGCTCTTTCACCCAGGCTGGAGTTCAGTGGTGCAACTGAGGCTCACCACAACCTCCCCCTCCCAGGTTCAAGCAATTCTCCTGCCTCAGTCCCCCGAGTATCTGGGATTACAGGCATTTGCCACTGCGCCCAGCTAATTTTTGTCTTTTTAGTAGAGACAGAGTTTCACCATGTTGGTCAGGCTAGTCTCGAACTCCTGACCTCATGATCTGCTTGCCTCGGCCTCCCAAATTTCTAGGATTACAAGCGTGAGGCCCTGGGCCCAGCCCGAAATCTCTCTTAATGTATAACATACTCCCTCCTTTTTTCTTCCTCTTCTATTGATTTATTTCCATAATAATTTGTTTGAGAACTCATTTTGTGGATTTGGCTGACAGCTTCCATATGATATCATTTATCAGGATCCTTTAATTTCTTCCTATGACCTGGTAGTCTGATCCAAAGATGAATACGGATAGAAGTAGATCAGCGTCCTAGGGGTCTTATCATTCATGCATGATTGCTGCCTAGATCCATTCTCTCATTAGGAATCAGAAAATGATGGCTTCCTGGTATCACTCTTTATGGATGTATTAGCTGGAATTCTTCTTTAAATAATTTTCTTTTGTTAATTATTTAGTTACTATGTAAGATTGTTTTCATAGAAAATGCAGCAAAACTTGATTCTTTCAAGTAATGAATTCACACAATGCCCAAAGGTGACCAGTTAAAGTTGTGTGTGTGTGTGTGTGTGTGTGTGTGTGTGTGTGTGTGTGTGTGTTTTAAACACCATTATAGGCCAGGCATGGTGGCTCACGCCTGTAATCCAGCACTTTGGAGGCGAAGGCGGGCAGATCATCTGAGGTCGGGAGTTCAAGACCAGCCTGACCAACATGGTGAAACCTGTCTTTATTTTATTTAAAAAAAAAAGAAAGAAAAAAGTAAACACCATTATAAACACACAGATTTTTACTCTATTTGATATGTTCAGGTCATCGCAGTACTACTTCTTTTTTTTTTTTTTTCCTGTGGCATAGTCTATCTGTCACCCAGGCTGGAGTGTAGAACTGCAGTCTTGGCTCACTGCAGCCTCTGCCTCCTGAGTTCAAGCGATTCTCTTGCCTCAGCCTCCCAAGTAGCTGGGACTACAGGCGTGCACCACCATGCCCAGCTAATTTTTGCATTTTTGGTAGAGATGAGGTTTCACCATGTTCGTCAGACTGGTCCTGTACTCCTGACCTCAAGCAATCTGCCTGCCTTGGCCTCCCAAAATGCTGGGATTACAGGTGTGAGCCACCGTGCCTGGCTCTGTCCTTTCAATTAGCAGTAGTTTGTGTAAATTGAGAAGTGTATCTTCAGTACCCCCACACGTGGCAGGTGCCCAGTGAATAATCATTCCTTCTTTTCTCACGTGGGTGTATCCTGATCTCTACCCTCCCTAGATGAACTGAAGTTGGAATGAAAGGGACTGACCAGAACATTCCATCAAACCTCATTTTGTTAGCCCTATTTACAAAGTATTATTTGTCAACTGAACTATCTGGTTAGCTAGCTGGGAAATGGTTTCCTTTTTTCAACTCTTGCTGAAATATTTCCTTTCTATATTAGTGATAAAGACTGATGAAAATAATTGAAATGTCCTTATGAATAGCAATAATAATCTTCATGGCTGAATTTATTTTGATAACAGAATCTACTTTGAGTTTTAAAATAAACTAGTGAGCAGAAAAATAATTCTTCTAAACTGAGAAGGTTCTAATTTCTTGAATTGTGATTAATTGAGCTTAATTGTATTTATGGAATGATTATATGGACCCTCCAGTATGTAAGGTAAAGGTTCTGTCCTCAAAGACATTATATTCTAATTGAGCAGATCCATCATACATACAAAAAATCACTAGAAAAATAGCTGGTGCAATGTGCTACCTATTCTGGAGTAGGCTGTACAAGTCAGAAGGGAGAAATCTCTGGGAGAGCACTTATAGAAGTTGAGTAAACTCTTGTATCCCTTAGGAAATGAGGAAGGTGGGTAACCAGAGAGAATAGTGAAGTGCAGCCTCTAGGATAAACAAGCATGGGTGTGAATTTGGCAGAAACTCAGTAACTGCTGACAAATGTTAGCACACTTTTGTACTGGAATTTTTTCCTGACAGAGTTAAGCCACAGTTTTTTTTTTACCACACTGAGAATAAACACTAAGAAGTAATGAACTTTTAATTTTTCTTCTCTTTTTTTTCTGTCATTTAGTAATTTATACCTGTCATTCTGTGAAGTACCTTCCCACCCTGTCTTCAAACAGGTCCCCCCTCTTCCCCACACAGTATCATTATACAGTAGAACTTCCTGAATGAATAGGAAAAAAAAGAAAAAAGACATTTTCTTCCTCTCTGCATGATAACTTGCTGGGTCTAGTGAGGACCTTCAGGATATTTGTATTCTTTCATCTTGCCCGGTGCCGGGTGTGGGGCAGGAAATACTGACTGGATTATGCCACACAGGCAGTCAGCTTTCACAGGTTAGTGAATTCTGAATGTCAAAAGGGATCTTGAAGAAATATAGTTATTTAGGTTGAGAGAGTTGATTCCAATTTAAATTTCTAAAGATTTCTTTTGGTTTTGAAAGAATCTTGAAAACTTTCTGAGAAGCTAAACCTTCACTTTTAAGATACACTTTGAAGTTTAAAGAGAATTTTGCAGTGTAGGAAAGACTTCTGGTATGAATATAAAGAATGGCCATGCCAGGAGGGAGCAGCTGCTCCCTCCTTTAGCCCTGTCGGTCTCACCTCCTCTCCTCCCTCTGCCTTCTTCTCCTTGTCTTCACTCTCCTTTATTGAATGTCAGCTTCCAGCATATGAAAGGGATTTTATGTGTTTAACTTATTGGGTAGTATTTGCATTTTTTTGTTGTTTTTCTAAAATGGGAAGGTAAATGCAGCATTTTTGGTTTCTTGTAGAAAAACATTCACCTCCTTTAAAGCTAGACTAAGGTAGTTTTTTTTTTTTATTTATGTAGTTCTGAATTAAATTGTTACCTTCCTTGATGGAAAAATTATCTTTCCCCTTTTACTTTAGATGATCTTTAGGTGACACCTAAGTGAAAGGTCACCACTTGATTAATAAAAACAGCTTTATTGTGTCTTATAAATTAACTGTATATGTTTGTTTTGTTAATCTTCTGGATCAGGTGAGTAGATTAGAGGGGATTATGATGAACTTGCTGCTTTAACTGGTGGATACTGAAAGACAGCTGTTGGAAAGTGAAAATATGTTTTTATTCATAGGGGTTATTTTTTTTTTTTTTTTTTTTTTGAGATGGAGTCTCGCTCTGCTGCCAGGTGCCAGGCTGGAGTGCAGTGGCGCCATCTCGGCTCACTGCAACCTCCGCCTCCCAGGTTCAAGCAATTCTCCTGCCTCAGCCTCCCAAGTAGCTGGAACTACAGGCACACGCCACCACACCCAGCTAATTTTTGTATTTTTATTAGAGACGAGGTTTCACCATGTTGGCCAGGATGGTCTCGATCTCTTGACCTCGTGATCCACCCGCCTTGGCCTCCCAAAGTGCCGGGATTACAGGCGTGAGCCACTGCGCCCGGCCCATAGGGGTTATTTTTGACCCAGTTAGTCATCAAAGCAAAGAGAGCAGATGCCCTTGTTGGGAATAAGGAAAGCAAGACTTTGAGCATGAGTTCCAAGAAGGGCAATCCTATGCAGCTAATCATCACACAGGGAGCTTGGAAGTAATGGGTTAGAACACTGGTCATCTGGCAGACTTAAGGAGCATTCTACTACTTGAGGTGCTAGCCTCAGGTCACACGAAGCCATGATAAAGAGCACAGTGTTCATCTTGGTAATTATTATATCACAAGCAATCGCTTCCTATGTGCTGGATGTTGTCCCCAAACGTTTCCATGTATTTGTCCATTAATCTTCACATTACACCTGGGAAGAAGCTGGGTACAAAATACCTTGTCTTAAATGGCATATCCATTCCTGCCAGAGCCAGGGACTGTCCTGGCAGTCCCTGGCCACATAGGCTCCACCTCAAACTGTGGCCAAATGCCTGGCGACAGAGTCTTTTGCCACATCTATCTTTCTTTGCTTTCTTCTGTACAGAATTCGCCACCTCTAACAGGTATTTCACAGAATGACACGTATAAATGAGTAAATGTCAGGAAAGAGAAGGAAAATTAAGTTCATTACTTCTTAGTGTTTATTTTTAGTGGAGTAAAAATAAGTGGATGACTTAATTCTGTCAGGAAAAAAAGCACTACATATGGCATTTTCTGTATGTGTAGACTATATTGACCAGATTTAGTGTTACAGGATTTCTAGTTGCAGTGTATACTGCACAGTTTACAATATTACATTTAATCATTATTGAAAGGTGACAATTTAAAAATACCATATCTTAAATAAAGTAAATACAAACCTTTAGGAACTGAGGTCAGTTTTGCTTCTGCAATTCTGATATGGAACACCGTCACCCCTTCAAATGCCCCTGGCTCTATCCCATTATTATCAAGAGGGTTTGCACTCATTTCTGTTGAGGGAGAATGACATGACTTAGCACACATAGGTTGTATATAAAGGAAACTCATAGTGCAGAAAGACACATCCCAAGAATGAATATCCCAGGAAGCATGAGCTTCATCCTTTAGGCTCATTTTCACTCAGTATATCTGCTTCTGTCTATCTACTGTCCTTTCTGTCAGCCTCAGAAAAATACTGCTTTGTATTATGTAAACTGCAATATATGAGAAGTTCACTATTATTTGCTTTGAATTACCAAATCAGTGACATTTTCACTCTCCTCCAACCATGAGCACAATTAAGATTTTGTTATAGTAGTATTGCATCAGAAAAAAAGATCATCCTTCATATACTCCAAAATGTTTATATTTTTCTGTGTACATTTTTGTGTCTTAAACTTTTTTAAAATTATAAGTCAATTAGAAATTGTTATTTTGTTAGCAGAAATATAACTTTGAAGAAATGCCAGTAAGTGCGGTCAGACACTTGGTTGAATTAAATGAATAAATGAATGAGAATCTTGGTTATGAATTTTGAATGGAGATTATAGGGAGATGGCATGGTTATATGATGGGTGTTAGAAATAAAATCAGGTAGAGTTTTAAATAGAAGATGAAAAACTCCTCACATCAATAATCTTTTTTTTTTTTTTTTTTTTTTTTTTTTTTTCGTTGAGACGGAGTTTCACTCTTGTTACCCAGGCTGGAGTGCAATGGCGCAATCTCGGCTCACTGCAACCTCCGCCTCCTGGGTTCGGGCAATTCTCCTGCCTCAACCTCCTCAGTAGCTGGGATTACAGGCACGCGCCACCATGCCCAGCTAATGTTTTTGTATTTTTAGTAGAGACGGGGTTTCACCGTGTTGACCAGGATGGTCTCGATCTCTTGACCTCGTGATCCACCCGCCTCGGCCTCCCAAAGTGCTGGGATTACAGGCTTGAGCCACTGCGCCCGGCCACATCAATAATCTTAAAGCAGATAACCAAACGTTAGGTGCACATTCCAAATAATATCCAAACTAATTTTGTAAATTATATCTGAGTAGCTTATATAACACATTAAAATACTACCTTTAAATTAAATAAGAATAATGTAGATTTTATTAATCAGGATCTGGTCAGAAACAGAAACCAGGCTAAGCGTTTCAAAGGAGATTTTTTTTTTTTTAGATGGAGTCTTGCTCTGTTGCCCAGGCTGGAGTGCAGTGGCGCGATCTTGGCTCACTGCAGCCTCCGCCTCCTGAGTTCAAGCAATTCTCCTGCCTTACCGCCCCGAGTATCTGGGATTACAGGCACCCGTCACCAGGCCCAGCTAATTTTTGTATTTTTGGTAGAGACGGGGTTTTACCATGTTGGGCAGGCTGGTCTCAAACTCCTGACCTCTGGTGATCCATTCACCTTGGCCTCCCAAAGTGCTGGGATTACAGGCGTGAGCCACCGCGCCCAGCCTCAAAGGAGGTTCTTGAGGGAGAGAGAGACAGTATTACAAAGGTCATATTTTCTTTAAGTGCTAAAAATTTTGTTAGGCATTTTAATTGGTTTATAAACGGCTTATCTAGGCAAAGATTATTATATTCAAAAATTAATTTTGGAAATTATTCTTAATAATGATAAAGTGTTCTACATCTGCTTGCTTATTATAATTTCAAGATGTCCCATTCATTTGAAAAACTTACCTAAAACATGTAAAGCATTCATTCCTTTGAATGTGTCCTTTTGTATTTTCTTAACTTTATTTTCATGAATTCTGAGTTCTGCTAATGATTTGGGAAGATTAAGTGGTATTTCACTTAGTTGATTGTGGGATAAATATAGCCTTCGCAACTTCTTTGTGGTTAGAAAGGCTTTGGGGTGAATCTTTGTTAGCTTGTTGTTGTTCAGGATCAGACCCTTGATCAAGCATAGAAAGTTACACAATATTAGGAAGTGGATTTGATTTACCAGTATTCTACAGTGATTAGCCAATCATGGAAATCAGTACAATTTATATCATTCGTGTACTAGATCACCCATGTAAAAAGTTTCCCAGCCCAATCTAAACTTTAAAAAAATTTTTACTGCTGAGTTAGAAAAGTGCAGAGCTGTAATAGTTGAGGTTGTGCCTTTGGTTTAGATAGAGGTGTCTTTTTTATCTTTGAATAGATAATACATTCATATGGTTAAGGCTTCAGCCTCTACTCAGCCTCCTATTTCCCTTCAGGGAAGTGACCAAGGATATTATCTTTATGTTATCTTAAAATCTATGCTACAAAACTATGTTTAGTGCTCACCAAATATATTTTTGCATGATATTTTTCTATTTTGAAAACCTTACTTCTTTCATATTTACTAATGTTTAGCATTTCTCTCAGAACAGAGGCCTGTAAGGAAAAAACTTCTACCATGTGCCCTCACCATTCTGGCATATTTTAGATGTTGGGGAGATAGTAATGGATCCTGAGGAATGGCTCAATCTCTTACCAGTTTTTTGGATATTTCTCAGGGCGATAAGACAGCATCCTCCAGTGGGGGTCTAATTACTCCAGAGAGCAAAAGAGCTTGTACTAGTGTGAGTGTGCTTTCTGCAGCCAAGGCCTTTGCGACATATCCAAGGGTGCATGACTACTTGGGTGACCAGCTGTCTCAGTCTGCCCAGATCGTGAGATTATGGGATGTGGAGATTTCAGAACCAAAACTGTGAATGTCCTAGACAAACTGGTACATGTTGGTAACTCTGATTAACTATTTTCATTGCAAAATGAACATAGCTCAGTTCTTTACTCATTACCAGATTGTTCAGAGATAATTTTCTGTGTTTCCTAAGAATGATGACAGGCCACTGAGCGTCTTCAGGACCTTTTAGTCCCTCTTTACCAATCCAGGTCATCTGATTTTCTCAAGGAGCAGCTCTAGATTCATTCATTATATGATTTTGTTCTCAAACTCATTTCACAAAAATCTCCCTTTGTTTCCAAACTGGTTTCATATGCCTCACTGGCATTGCTCACATTGTTGTTGTTTTTCCATGGCAGAAATACACATTTTGGTTGCTCAGTAAACTACTTTTATCTGCACATTTCCTCATCTTACTCTTGGCCCTTGCACTTTCCTTTACTCACCCTCCAGAAATTCCAAATATATCGCTATTGCTAAAAGTGTCACCAAGAAAGGGTAAGTCTAGTCGAAGAGGTGAAACTACGTTTTGTTACCAACTGGTAAAATACCCTTGTTTCTGAGTGTGTGATGCCAAACAAAAGTGTCTTTTCTCTTCCTTTGGTTACACTGAAAAATGAGGTGAGGGGAATTTAAAAACTTGGTGGATCATCAAGATGGTTTGTGAATTCTCTCTTAACTCCGTGAGGTAAATTTTGCAGGAATTATTACTCTCCTGTTAGTGATAAGGAAAGGCATAAAGTGAAGAAAGGTGACTGTCCTACAGTCACCCAACAAGTGAGGGTTAGCGTGGCCCCACCCCAAAGTGAACCTGTGCATCAGTGAGATCCAGGCTTTTGTTAGTTTGTTTTTCCTGGTTAAAACATGCAGTTGTTGGAACTGCTTAAAAGGAAGGAAAAGTGATACAAAACTATGTAAGAGGTTTTATGCAGCACTATTAATAACTGCCCTGCATGGGGAGCTGGCTGAGTGATCCAGTTAAACTGCACTCTCAATGCTGGCTTAGTCATCACAGAGCCCCTAATTCATAATTAACAAACAATGTAAGGACAGAAGATGAGAAGAGCATAGCCATTCAGTAATAGGACAGTGATTCATGACTAATGTATCTGATATTGGCTGAAATGAGCTAGGAGATCTATGATTTTGCTCTCACTGTATTATCCTTTGTGTAAGAACCCGATTGCCAAACAAGCAGCTAAAATGTAACTTTGTAGACTATCTAAAAAATAATTTGATTATCTTAAAAGACAGGTACCATATAAGGTGATATTATAATTACATAAATGTTTTGTAATTATATGGTATACCCACAATTCAGTATAAAGCATGTACTTTAAAAAGTGATTTCTATTAATACACCGGGTCAGTCTGCTAATAGTAGCTTAGCAGTATTACTACTTAACAGTTGGGGGCTTCTCCACCATTGCTCTACACCTGACATGCATTTCTCAAAAACAAAAAAATCAAGTCAGTCTAAGAAAGCTCCTGATACCTTTTAGATTCTCATTTCCCAGTGAATAATAGGAGTACATATGGACCAAGTCCCTGGAATGCTCCTAAAATATGATAAAATAATGATATGACAAATCTAAAACATTTATGGCCCCAGTGTTAAATATGCCATTAGTTATTCTTGTGGTTATGTAAGCTGAAAAGGGATTGAAGAAGTGGTAAATGCATGAATAGGCTATATTTCCAACTTCTGATGGTAGAATAATGGCCTTGCCATTCTCTAAAAGATTCTGTGGCCTAAAGTTAGTGGGGTGGACTGGGTGGATCCTCAGTGGAATCCATTGTGTTATTTCTGACCATCTTAATGTTTTAGTGAGACCTAACTTATAAATATATGCTCTTCAAGTTGTTCTTTTAGATGTATATATATATATATAAGGCTTCAAGCCTTACCAGATCTGAACTGTCTGCACACTTTGAAAGTGAAAAGGGAGACAAGGTGCTGGCTACCTGGCAGTGCAATGTGAGAGCTGGATTTTGCAGGGAGGCTTGATGTGACGATTGAGCATCCCTCAGTCTGCCTCACCCTGGGATTGAGGACAGCATGCATGTCCTCAATCCCAGGATGACTGGGAGGAAGAGATGGGCCAGCAGAATCCACTGCACTGACGCTATGCTGACAGGGAGGCATGGTGACCTCACATCTCTCAGATACAGGAATGGAGCCAGGCCTGCATGGTAGCAAGGGGCTAGTATGGTGGTGGTACTTCCTCAGCTGTGGCAGGTGGATATGAGGTTCTCCTCCAAACCCAATTTCAGACTAAATCAGAAATTTTACTTGCAAAAATTTAGAGACTTCAAAATGATTTCTTGGTTTGCTTTTGTTTTTGAGACAGGGTTTCACTGTGTCACCCAGGCTGGAGTGCAGTGGCATAGTCACAGCTCACTGCAATCTCCACTTCCCAGCTGAGACTACATGCACCGCCACCATACCAGCTAATTTTTGCATTTTTTTGTAGAGGTGGAGTCTTGTTGTGTTGCCCAGGCTGATCTCAAACTCCTAGGCTCAAGTGATCTGCCCATCTCGGCCTCCCAAAGTGCTGGGATTATAGGTGTAAGCCACTACAACCAGTCCAAAATGTTAAACATGGAAGTAGTAATCTTTTAAATTCTGGACTTTTTTTTTTTTTTTCTGAGATGGAGTTTCACTTAGTCACCCAGGCTAGAGTGCTGTGGCATGATCTCAGCTCACTGCAACCTCTGCCTCCTGGGTTCAAGTGATTCTCCTGCCTCAGCCTCCTTAGTAGATGGGATTACAGGTGCACACCACCATGCCTGCTAATTTTTTGTATTTTTAGTAGAGACAGGATTTCACCATGTTGGCCAGGCTGGTCTCTAACTCCTGGCCTTGGGTGATCCGCCCACTGGCCTAAGTGCTGGGATTACAGGCATGAGCCATTGCGCCCAGCCTAAGTCCTAGAATATTAAAATGATACTAATATAGTAAAGAAAAAAACTCTTTTCCTCTTTGAAGATCCAATAAAGAAGCCATACATGTATATATTAATCAGATATATTCTGTGTGCTGCTGTTAGAGATTTGTGGTGTTTTAAGATAACACCTTTGGATAGAGATTTCTTACACTGTTTGCTAATGATTGCTGTAAATAATTGTTTTCTTGTTCATTTTAATATATAATGACTGTTATTACCTGAATAGATTGTAAGCTTATTTGAGTACCATTAAACTCAGCCCACTGCCTTTTACCTGGCTATTATTTAATAAACATCCATTGAATTAAACTATTAATTGAATTAAATCTATAATTTTTAATTGACCAGAACCCTGCTGAATGCAGGGACTTTTGTCATTCTTTACATACATAAAAGTAAGACTTGTTTATACTAACATAGTATAATTAATCATTATCACAAAGATATAGAGTTTTCACTTAAATCTTTGAAAGTATGACGATATATTCTTACATAAAGTGAAGTGAGTCCTTTAAAATCATTTTCTTTGATTTCCTTAATTTTATTGTTTTGAAGATCAAGCATTCGAGTATCAAATGGAATGTTGGTTGGAACGGAGGTCAAACCTGAAAAAGAAACAAACATAATATATAGCAGAGAATCATGCTGATGATGAAATTACTAATATGGTAGAAATATACATTTTTTTATTTTTTATTTTTAAAGACGGGGTTTCACCATGTTGGTCAGGCTGGTCTTGAACTCCCGACCTCAGGTGATCCGCCTGCCTTGGCCTCCAAAGTGCTTGGATTACAGGCGTGAGCCACCACGCCTGGCCAAAATATACATTTTTTTAAAGTCCATGATTATCATCCACTTACAGATGACTTAACAGTCATAACAGATGACAAAACATTGTTTTGAGAGAAGACCTCAGGACCTTTTTTAGTAACTTATTAATTTTTACAAGGTTTTTAGATTGATCTAGTTGATCAATCAATTCCATTCCTCTAAGGTGGAATAAAAGGAGATAAATTGGAGCTGCCCTGGTGACTGTGAGGAGATGACCAACTGCTGAGGTGCAGCTTCTGTTAATGTACTTTTGGCTGAGGAATTTGAGCTTTCTTTGCTAATTTTGAGGGTATTATAGTGCTAAATTGGAGCATATGGGTCTTGATCATTTTAGTAAGCCTTAGAAAATAGAAAATATTTTTATGTTTGGAAAATAGAAAAATTACATTTTTTTGTGTGTATAATACCAAAAACCACCACCCATTTCCTTTAAGTAATTAACTCATCTAATTAGTTGTAAATTCTTGATTTCCAAATACTGGTTCATACATAATTCTTTTTTTTTTTTCTTGAGACAGTCCTGCTCTGTTGCCCAGACTGGAGTACAGCGGCGCCATTTCTACTCACTGCAACTTCTGCCTTCTAGGTTCTAGTGACTCCCCTGCCTTAGCGTCCCAAGTAGCTAGTATGTGTACCACCATGCCTACCTAATTTTTGTATTTTTAATAGAGACAGTGTTTTGACATATCCAGGTTAGTCTCGAACACCTGGACTCAAGTGATCCACCTGCTTCAGCCTAGATGTCATTACACTTGATAGAACTGTCTTCACTCCTGAATAGTAGTCATATATTTAATAGCCACAAATTTAAGAATTGAAAAACTAATATATGAATATCATCATTCTATCCTACAGCCCTATATACTTTTCCTTTCTAGACTTTAAAATTAGGCCAGGCACACTGGTTTATACCTGTAATCCCAGCACTTTGGGAGGCCAAGGTGGGTGGATCACCCGAGGTCAGGAGTTTGAGACCAGCCTGGCAGGAGTTTGAGACCAGCCTGGCCAACATGGTGAAACCCTGTCTCTACTAAAAATACAAAAATTAGCTGGGCATGATGGCATATGCCTGTAGTCCTAGCTACTTGGGAGGCAGAGGAAGGAGAATTGCTTAAACCCAGGAGGCGGAGGTTGCAGTGAGCCAAGATAGTGCCACTGCACTCCACCCTGGGTGACAGAGTGAGACTTTGTCTCTAAAAAAATTAAATTAAGACTCTCTTAAGAAATTTAACTATATGTAGGAAGAAGAAAGGGGGTAACTTGATGAATTAGCAAGGTAGAGGGGTAGTTTTGTTTGTTAAAATAGATTCTTTTTTTTTTTTTTTTTATTACTTTAAGAGACAGAGTCCTCCTCTGTCACCGAGGCTGGAGTGCAGTGGCATGATCTCGGCTCACTGCAACCTCTGCCTCCCAAGTTCAAGCAGTTCTCCTGCCTCAGACTCCTGGAAGCTGGGACTACAGGCACATGCCCTCATGCCTGATTAATTTTTTATATTTTTAGTAGAGACAGGGTTTCACCATGTTGCCCAGGCTGGTCTCAAACTCCTGACTTCATGATTTGCCTGCCTTGACCTCCCAAAGTGCTAGGATTACAGGTGTGAGCCATGGTGCCTGGCCCCTAATTTTGCCATTTTTATGAACACAGGAGATTATTTTGGTTTTAGAAAATGAAGTGGAAGTCTTGTAGGAAGCTGGAAGTTCTGCAGCAGGGATCCTCCTGGTAGCATAGATTTTGACAAGCCTACTCTTGCCCTGCCCCTGCCCCTGATGAAACTGAAGCTCCGAGAAAAGTTTCATCTCCTAAGGGAGGAAGAGTGATAAGTGCCCAGACCCTTTTTTTGGTCATGCTGTGGGGAGGTAGGATGGGTGCAGCAGCATGGTGATGGCATGTCTGACTGTCACAGATATCCTTAGGTGGATTTTGTTTGTAGAGTTTTTTCAAAGCTGAATGTTTGGGAGACTGTGTGATGGGAACACTAGCTGCCTGCTGTGAGGTAGCTTGGATTTCTCAGGTCTTTGGTGACAAGTGTGTACTGGAGCAGTTTTATGCAATGTCTCATCCACAGTCTTCATGTTGGAAGCATATGACTGCTCTGCTGTGGCACATATGGAGGCCAGCATGTGGGGGTGGTCTGCACTAAAGATAAATGTGTCCTTATTCACCATCTTACCCCAAACCAACCCAGTTTACATCCAGTGGAGTCACAGCGGATACACATATTTTTATCCAGAATTTTGACTTACAGAGTGCTTTAACATGCACCCACTCTGCAAAGTGATAGTAGGTAACGTTTTTTCTTGTCTGGGATGCAGTTTAGTACAATAGTACATTCTGATATTCCCCAACTAATCCCTTCTCACATTCAGCATCTGTCTTAGCTTCTGCATTTCTCATTCCTGCTGCTGTATCCACAGTCATTCTGCATAAACGAGTTTTCTCAAACAGTGCTTGTATCGTAATCTCTTTCTTATGAGAATTCCACAGGTAAAGCTTAAGATCCTTTTTTTCCCTAGTGCATCTATTTTTCTTTCTTTCTTTCTTTTTTTTTTTTTTAATGGAGACGAGGTTTCACCTTGTTGGTCAGGCTGGTCTTGAATTCCTGACCTCAGGTCATCCACCTGCCTTGGCCTCCCAAAGTGCTGGCATTACAGGTGTGAGCCAGCACGCCCAGCCTCCTAGCCCATCTATTTCATTAGACTTGCCTAGTAAGTCTAGCTCATGTCAGTCTCCTCTTTTTTTGAATGCTTTTTGTTTACCTCTCATTTTGTCATATAACGACAAACTTCATTAAGGTCTCTAGAGTAAATTATTATAAGCTATGACTCTTGCCATGAATGCTATGGCAGTAGGAAGCAAGTCTAATGCTTTTCAAGACATCTGCTCATACAGACGCATGAGGTGACCCTGATGGGCCATCAGACCCTGAGTGGGAGTTGTGTGCCAGACCTTGGTCTCCATAGTGGGACCTGGGACCACTCTCAGCTGTTCCTTCTTGGAAACAGCTGAGGGCAACAACTCTTGATATGCATTCCTATCATGTCCCCTTCCTGAACAGGGTATGGGTGTGCTCTTGAGTGCTCCTTCATTAGAACTTTTAAAGAAATAAAATACTCAGCAAAGAATTATAAATTTGAAAGAGACTTTATCTACTTTTTTCTTAGGCAGTTTTAAACCCAAATTGTTAAAAAGCAAATAAAGCATTATTTTAAAAGGTCTAGAACAGAGATTTCACAAGCTTACTATAACTCATTTCATTGTCCTGGACACGCAACTTATTATGTTATCATGGAGTTTTACTGAAAATGACAGTCTCAACCTGCTAACACTTGAGATAGAACTGCAAGTGGTGTCCATTCTCTCTGAAGAGAATTAAAATGAAGTGCTTTGATTTAATTTGGGAAGAGAAGGAAATGTTCTGTGTACAACATTCCCACAGTTTTCCTCTGATTTTTTGAGTTTTAAAAATAAATTTAAGGGCCAGGCGTGGTGGTGCACATCTGTAATCCCAGCACTTTGAGAGGCTGAGGCGGGTGGATCACGAGGTCAAGAGATGGAGACCATCCTGGCCAACATGGTGAAACCCTGCCTCTACTAAAAATGCAAAAATTAGCTGGGCATGGTGGCGTGCACCTCTAGTCCCAGCTACTCAGGAGGCTGAGGCAGGAGAATCACTTGAACCTGGGAGGCCAAGGTTTCAGTGAGTTGAGATTGTACCACTGCACTCTAACCTGGCAACAGAGCAAGACTCCATCTCAAAATAAATAAGGCCTGGCACGGTGGCTCACGCCTGTAATCCCAGCACTTTGGGAGGCCGAGGAGGGTGGATCATGAGGTCAGAAGTTGAAGACCAGCCTGACCAATATGGTGAAACCCCGTCTCTACTAAAAATACAAAAATTAGCTGGGCATGGTGGCAGGTGCATGTAATCCCAGCTGCTAGGGGTGCTGAGGCAGGCGAATTGCTTGAACCTGGGAGGTGGAGGTTGCAGTGAGCTGAGATTGTGCCACTGCACTCCAGCGTTGGCAACAGAGCAAGACTGTGTCCAAAATAAATAAATAAATAAAATAAATAAGTTTGGATGTACTTTGGGGTTTGGTGTACTTTCCACCTAAAAACTTAAATGAAAAAAATCTTGTAAAAGCAACGAGATTATTTTTGAAATTTCAGTGAAGACTTTTTCTGTCTTTTAAATTGTCAGAATAGCATTATTGTTCTTCAAAACAAAATTGGCTTATGTTCTTACCTAGATCTGAACAATGTACAACTCGTGAATAGCACTGACATCCAAATGGACACATTGGAAACAGATCAAATGGAAAAAAGGGGATTCTTGGCTCTCTTGTTGGAAAAAGAGAGTTGTCCTCCTCCTCATCATCATCGTCATCATCTGTGTCTTCCATATCCTTCAGCATCATATTCTTTAATGCCATGTGTGAAGGGCTAAAGAAGGGTTTGGCAGAGCACAAAGCCAGGAATAATAGGAGCACGTATTCCTTCATGTTATCTTAGTGTAGAAGACGAGTCTAGGACTAAACAGACATTGGATATTAAGTTAAAGTTTAAATGGATATAATTCCTGCATGTCTACATTTCTTAGTTCTGGCAAGAGTACAATGAAATGGTATTTTTATCCATTGCTAGCTAATGTGAGAGTAAATTTATAAAGATTTTTGGAAAACAATTCAGCAGTGTGCATTGGAAACTATGAAAATATCTCTGTTTTTCAGATAGTGATTCTACTTTTTGGAATCTAGTCTCAGGAAACATTTCTAAAGTGCACAAATATGTTCATCACAGAATTATAATAGCAAAAATATTTCAGACAATCATAATGGTTAAAGGGGAATTATAAAATAGGGTATATTCATGAAATATTTTGGAACCCACAAAATGCTTGCAAAGACATTTTAAAATATGGGATATTATCTTTTGTGAAAATAAAAAGGAAATATATATTAAAAATATAAACATATATATTAAATATAAAAATATATATTAAAAAAAGGAAATATACACACAGTATACTTACAAACACTCAGAAACAAACAAAAACAAACCTGGCAGAAATATACCTGATTCATGATAAACTCTGGGCACTAGAACCATAGATGACTTGTGTTTTCCTTTTTCCTTTAATTTTCATAATGAGCAGTGAGTATTACCTTTATAATGAAAAGCTAATAAACATTTTTAAGAAACAGAACAGATTATCTTACCTAACTCTGCATTCCCAAAATCCTTCCATTGCCTTAATGTCTTCATTGTCCCTGAAGGAGGAATGTCTTCATTGTCTCCTTAGACAACATCTGGAATTTTTCCTTAATTGATTTATCTCCACCTTTCCCAACCTCACTCTCATAGTTGGTCACTTTTTCCACAGTTGAGATCTTTTTCCTTCTAATCTGTTCCATTGTCTAATACTTGATCCAAACTGTCTGATGTTCAGACTGTTCATTCTCCATAATCTTTCCACTAAGTTCTGTTTGTTTGTTTGTTTTCAGTTGCTTTTTTATTTTTGAGATGGAGTCTCACTCTGTTGCCCAGGCTGGAGTACAGTGGCACCATCTTGGTTCACTGCAGCCTCCACCTTCCAGGTTCAAGCGATTCTTCTGCCTCAGCCTCCTGAGTAGCTGGTACTACAGGCGCCTGCCACCACACCCAGCTAATTTTTTTGTATTTTTAGTAGAGGCGGGGTTTCACCGTGTTAGCCAGGATGGTCTTGATCTCCTGACCTCATGATCTGCTTGCCTAAGCCTCCCAAAGTCCTGGATTACAAGCGTGAGCCACTGAGCCTGGCCTTTTTCAGTTGCATTTTTAAAATGCACACAAAATGGAAATATACAAATGAGAACCTTCAGAGCATAGATTTATTGCCATATTTACATATCATAATTTTTTTTTTCCCATTTATTTATTTTATTGCATTTTACATTTTGGGGTACATGTGAAGAACATGCAAAATTGTTGCATAGGAACACACGTGGCAGTGTGATTTGCTGCCTTCCTCCCCATCACCTACATCTGGCATTTCTCCCCTTGCTATCTCTCCCCAGCTTCCCACCCCCCACCCTCCCTCCCCTATTTCCCCCCAACTGACCCCAGTGTGTAGTGCTCCCCTCCCTGTGTCCATGTGTTCTCATTGTTCAACACCCGCCTATGAGTGAGAACATGCGGTGTTTGATCTTCTGCTCTTCTGTCAGTTTGCTGAGAATGATGGTTTCCAGGTTCATCCATGTCCCTATTGTCACCTGTGAAATGTGTATGTTCTTTGAAAATTTCAAAAATTAAAAGCATTATGAAATAATTCAAAATAGATGCATCCAGAGATGCTCATTGGTGAAACTGAGTCCTGGCAGGAGGGCATCCACTCACCACCACAGCAGAGGGCTCTGCAGACCCTAATAGTTCACCAGGCTACAGTCAACTAACTAGTCCACCAGACCTGTCATTGCCTGAGTGCCAGAGGGCAGCTGAGCTGTAGAAGACTTTTAGAGTCAGTCAGGATTGGCCCAGCCTCAGGAAGACCTACCCCTCCAAGTCCCAACTGGTTACAATTTCCCAGAACCAAAAAATCAGCTTTAACATCTCAACACAGGCTTGCTTTTTCCTGGATTTAAGAATCAAGAATGAATTCATTAACTTAATTAATATCTTCATTTATATATGATATATCTTTTTAAATCACCAGATGAGGGCTAGAATATCCTACTGTCATTAGTTATTAACCTGATAATTTCTCATATGCTTTAAAAACCTAAATGAGTGGCATGAAATTTGCCCACTGGGTAGCTGGATGGCACCGGTCAGGTATGTGTAATATTGCTGTGATAATCCACACTAAGCTATGCTAGGAGGGAGATTATAGGACAGATCTGAAAATGGCAAGAGCTTTTTATATTCTAATAATCCTATTCTGAATCCCATTTCAAAACTAGCACAAGGCTCCCATCTGTACACTACTTTGTGGAGGTGTCAATTCAGATATTATTCTAGACTCATCCCTCATATTAAATAAGAGGAAATGAGACGTAAAGAGCTTAAGTGACTTGCCCAAAGTCACCTACCAAATATAAATGGAGCCAGAGCTAGGGCTCATATGTCCAACTTCCTGTTCTGTGCTGCCTTCTGCTCCAGCTCATGTGGAGAGACTCAGTTGTCTTATCTAGAAATCTCATGGCTTCGAGGGCGTACTCTGTCATTTCTTCTTATCCAACCAGTATACAAATTCCTGATCTGTATATATCTGTACATAAAGAAGCACTTGTGTAGCTTGGATTGGAAGGGTAGAGAATAGAATGATTGGGTGGTCAGATTTGTGCAGTACAGGGTGAGAGATTGTGCTGGCAACACACGGTCCAGTGGCTTCTGTTGGAGAGCCCCAAGTGGAAATCACCAACTGTGGCTGACTACTGTTCTGTGGCAGACATGGGGTGTCTCTGCAGGCAGGCAGGTTTATGTTTCATTTTCCAGTCATCCTCCCATATTGGGTCTTGGTAAAGGTTTCTGGGGGCTTCCTTTTCAATATCACTTTGTCCCTGACACATTGTGTCTGTGCCTTGGCTATCTAACTTTGACTCATTATGTGTTTTGACTTAAGGCTGTTGTGTGGTTCCTGGCCCATTAAGGTTTAGTGCCCAGCTTTGCCTCAACCTTCGAAATACTCTTTCCCTAGGAAATTTCAACTCTTGGTCCTCAGCTAAATCAAAGCTGGCCCCTGATTCCAATTTATTCTGTAACATTCTTGCATTACAGCTCTGTCTTCTAGGTGCACAGCTGCCCTTGACCTTGTCTGACCCTGGCAACAAGAAGCTATGGAATTATAATGTCATTTCAGATACTGTTTCTGGCTTTCTTTGAGGTTGCTGGAGTTATTCGGTGGGCATTTACCAAGCACGCACTGTACCCCAGGCAGTGTCACTTGTCAGAATGCTTAATCTCTTAAAGTAGAGCACACTTTCCTCCCCATCCTCTTTTCTCCCACACTTCCCTACTCGAAAATAAAAAACCCACAACTCCTAATCAACTACTGTCAGGTAAATATGAAATTGTAAACTTAACACTTGAGTGTCAGGTGCATTAATAGAAAAACTAAAAAATAAAATGCCTAGATTAGTAAATAGACAATGTCAGTTGTATATACTGTGACTTATGGGGTAGGAATAGAGGTGTGGGACTTTAACACTAGATGTGTGGTGCCCAGAGCTCTGAAAGTAAAATTCTTCACCATGTCTGTCTACTCATAACCTTCAGTTTATTGTTTGAGAAAAATAGATCTAAAGACATCTGTGAAAACATATATTTACATGAAAAAAGATAGAATATATAAACCTGGTAAGAGGGATAATGGGATTATAAACAAAGCTTTGCTTTTCTTCCTATGCATAGTTTTTTAATCATGTTGCTTTTAAAATATTTTAAATGTCAGTCTGCAAACAGAATTTTCTTTGCTTATTTCTACATGTACTGCTTTCTTTTCCTACCACTTTTTCTAGGAATTGGTATAATCAAAGGTTTCCCATACATACTGTTCTCGTCTATCTCTACCCAAAAGTCAAGCAATAGCACCTACTTGGCAAATTGTTTGGAGGTTTACAATTTCTTGAGGCTTAATCCTGTTTGTCCTGGTCTTGGGGAAATGAAGATTTTGATAAAGTTATTTTTTACGTTGGTTGGGTTTTGTTTGTTTGTTTGTTTGTTTTTGTTTTTGTTTGGTTTTTTCATTTGAGGCGGAATCTCACTCTGTCGCCCAGGCTGGAGCACATTTGTGTGATACTGGCTCACTGCAACCTCCGCATCCTGGGTTCAAGTGATCCTCCCACCTAAGCCTTCCAAGTAGCTGGGATTACAGGCATGTGCCATCACATCTGGCTAATTTTTTATGTTTTTGTAGAGACAGGGTTTTACCATGTTTGCCAGGCAGGTCTTGAACTCCTGACCTTAAGCCATCCACCCATCTTGGCTGCCCAAAATGCTGGGATTATAGGTGTGAGCCACAGCACCTGGCCTGATTGTTTTTAAGTGTTTTCCCATAGAATCTTTGAATTATATGGACTTTAGGTTCCCAGTCTGGACCAGAAAAACCTGTTTAACAGAAAATATATCCAAAATGCTGAAACCAAAAAACTATGGAACTTAAAAAAAATATGTAAAACACCAGGAATGTGTTAGAGATCCAAAGTAGGGTGCCAGGAACACATTGTGGTGTTCCTGGTGGCCTGGCAGGAGGAATGGGGACTGGCCTCAGCTCCTTTGCACACCACATGATGGTTTCCCAGATGCCTTCAGCCTCGTGCCACTGTCAAGAGAGGCTTTCCCAGTACTGGGTTGAGGTTTGACATGAGGAACGGGATCAGGTGTGAGGAGCAGAACTGAGAGTTGAGAGATGAAGGAGAGGGCACACAGGGCAGGGAAGGCGGGGAGCAGAACAGTGGTGGGCCTGCTTCTTTGTATATCCCCGCCTCAGGGCTACTGACCAGCCCCCGAATGGCATCAGGAGAAGCATCAGCCAGGGACCCTTCCTTTGTCTCTCCACTTTTTAGACTGATAAGTTACAGGAGACCCTCCCTGCCTTTAATGAAAACTGAGGTAACATCAAAATATGAAATGGAGTCTTCTGCCTCCTAGTTTTAGGCAGTAGCATTATCTGTAGTTGTTGGGAAGCATTCCAGTTGCTGAGCAGTGGAGGCAGGCACTTATATATAGTAATTGGGCCCTTTCCTAGGGAGTAAGAGATGGAGCCCTGTGGAAGCAGGAGTTCCTTCTGGTGGTGAAGATTCTAGATCATTCTTGACCAGGGAGCATATCTACCCTGGTTGAATAGCTCTAGGGAGAGGATACTACCTCAAGGCATCATCTTCCGCAGTTGCTCATCCATTGCTGCTAGCATAGTCTTCATATGGAAATGAAAAATGCTTTCTGGAAAATTCATTTCTCTGTGCTAGTTCTGTCTTCTGTTAGTCTTATACAATTAATCTAATCTTTTTGCATTCTCTTATCCTAGTTGCTTGCAAAGAAGAATGTCAAGCCAACCTTGATTCCATGAGGAATTCATTATTTACACTCTTCATCTGAGTCTCTTGCTGGGTCTCTTTCACCACTTTGTTAATAAGTACAAGTTAAGTATAGGTCCTAAACCTCCCCCTAGTCCAGTGTGCAACTGTTTACCAATATAAAAATAATGGAATGTGTAGGAGGGAACCCTAGATAGCAGTGTTTTTTTCTTATTCACGAAGAATGTAGAGAATATTATATCTCATTTAAAATGATATGACATTTGGTTGGTTGTTTTATTTTCAGTTTATTAATGTGGTACAACCTCTGTTTTATTAGTTTTGGCAGTAGTTAGATTATTCTATTTTTAAAACCTTTAAAAATATTAAATCTTCTTCAGGAATACTCAATATTTCCCTGATTTAGACCTGTTTTACCAGTGTTTTCTACCCATGGAAAGCTTTGGATTTTGGTTTCAAGTCTCTCTTTTTTTTTTTTTTTTTTGAGACGGAGTTTTGCTCTTGTTACCCAGGCTGGAGTGCAATGGCACGATCTCGGCTCACCGCAACCTCCGCCTCCTGGGTTCAGGCAATTCTCCTGCCTCAGCCTCCTGAGTAGCTGGGATTACAGGCACGTGCCACCATGCCCAGCTAATGTTTTGTATTTTTAGTAGAGACGGGGTTTCACCATGTTGACCAGGATGGTCTCGATCTCTTGACCTCGTGATCCACCCGCCTCAGCCTCCCAAAGTGCTGGGATTATAGGCGTGAGCCACCGCGCCTGGCCTTCAAGTCTCTCTTAATCAGAATACTATTTGGAGTATTCTTCCAGTGCTACTGCTGTTACTAATAAATCATAGCAGCATAGAGCTAAGAGAGGCCTTTGAGACTTTCCCCACTAGGGCCCTCTTTTACTGAGAAAAAGCTGAGGCAAGGAGCATCCAGAACTGGCTGGAGGAGGTGGAGCTGAGGGCTGGCCTCCTCACCGCTTGTCTGCTGTGCTTTCCACTGGACTGCATGTCCTCCTAAATGGATTTTATTCTCATAGTTACTTCAGACAGTGAACAGACTTTCCTCTGGAAAAGCCTATGTAAGGAGTTTTGGCCAAGCTCTCAAAACAGTTCATAACAGAACTGGAAATATCGCTTAAGAAGCACATAAGCTTTCGTTTTTCCACTTAACTGGTCTACAACTTAGAATGGAAAGTTTGTGAGTGAAATGGTATTTCCTCTTAGACACTATTATTAGGTAAATAAGTCACTTTGCTTTTAAATCTTATGTTTAAAGGCCCGCTTGAACTTTTCCCCCTGGTTTAAGTATGCCTATCAGTTCACAGGTACCAGTAGCAGATTTCAGTACATAAATGTGATATACTCCATATATCTCACAGAAGAAATCCAAACCAAATTCAGATGTAATCAAGGCACAGCCTTGTAAGCTAACAAATAAAAGTCCAAGCATGCATTTGGAAACTTTTCCACAGTACCATTTGTTCATGGATGCTGATATGTTTAAAGATAGCACTTTCCTTAAAAAGTAGTTAATTTTAGCTCAGAAGTAAAACTAGCATTCTGACTAAGCATTCTGGCTGTTTTTCCCTTTATACTAATATTGCCCTTCATTAGTTTTTCCATATCTCTAGCAACCAAGCTACTGTCTTAAAAAACAAAATCTCCTCCCTCTCCATTTTTATGATGTTTCCCCCAGCACCTCAAGACTTGTGCTTGTAAGGTTAATCGTGTTTGTCTCAAACCTCTGATCAGTTATTGGAATATTTGTTTTTAATTGAGCAGTTAGTTGTAACAGAAGACTGTATATCCTCTGTTCTTTCTACTACTACACTATACTCCTTAAAGCCAAAAAAACAAACTAAAAACATCAGGATCCTTTTATGTGTGTGGGTTTGTGATTTATTTTTCTTTCTTTCTGTTTTATTTTTTATTTTATTTTATTTTTTTAACAACTTGATGATTCTTGGAGGGATTTAAAAAAAAAAAACAAAAAAAAAAACAAACCTTCATTTTGATGGAAATATAACCCCCTCAGGTTCTTTATGACTCAGTCCCTACACCATGTGACCACTGTTTCTTGGCTGCCACAACTCTGAATAGATTAACATGAAAGAATGCTACACTCTATTTAAATTACTAAGGACTAGAATATTGAATACATTGCTTAAATTTTTTTAATCTAAAATTTTAATCAGAAATTTACGTTGGGACAAAGGAAATCTTTGAAAGTGTTAAATTCTGACTGTATGTGTGCTGTGAAAATTTCCTAATCTTTCATATTGAATATGGTGTTAAATTATTGCTTAGAATTGTATAGATTTCCATTTTAACTTTTCAGTGCCATTTCATTATAATAAGGAAGACATTTGTCAAGGAAAAATATGAATATTCAAATGTATAAGTAAAAATGACATTAGTTCACACATTCAAAATGCACATTAGAAAATATCATTTTAAATATTGAAAAACATATTTACTATTTCATTTTTTTTTATTTTAGCAGAACTGCCAGAAGATATATTTATTGTTTCATTTAATGTAGCTGTGATATCCCCAAACTTCATTAATTATTATAGCAATGTTATTTTCCTAGATGAACACAAAAGATGTTTATTTAAATGACTCTTAAAATCAATCATGTTAACATTTATGCTGAGGCATAATAACAGGTTTTCACTTAGCTGAAAAAAAAGTCACATAATTATATTTAACAAAAATTCATTATAGATAAGACATAAAACTAGAATAATTTTAGGTACAAATTTAGGTTTGTATTTAAATGCTGATTTTTTAAGAAATTATAGAAATAAGCTTTGGACTTTATCATATTATTTATAAGCATTTGTTTATAACATTAATGGCTCCTTAGTATTGACTATAAAGTAATTGTACATTGGTACCTGTAAGATAGACATGAAACATACCTGTCAGAAGAGAGTAGTCCTCTTAAAAGTAGAAGTTATCCACCATGTACTAGTTATCTATAATGTAAATGTTCTCAGGAACTGTGTAAGAAGAAAAGATGAGGAGATACTACATTTAAAAGAAAAAAACACCTTTCAACACAGTCCTGGTGTGGCTGCACCCTGGGTGATACTAGAATAAACTGCTTCCACAGATTAGTCCATGTTAGTACTGAGGAGCGAGATTAAAACTTGTTACTGCTCATGTGTTTTCCATCACTGTTTGTATTGTAGCCAAGACTTCTAGCTAAACTCTAGACGTCTACTGGAAGATTCTGAAGGAAAAAAAAAAAGAAAGTTTAATAATGCATGGCAACTGGCCATTGAAAATGCAGTCAGAATCATTCAAGAAATACCTAGTTTTAAAAATGCTTTACAAGAATCTTAAGTGAATGAATATTTATAAATTAGAATTTCAAAAATTACTCAACCTGGATAGACTAATAAAATACTTATTGATCTGAGTAAAGGATACCAATATGACTGAAGTATATACCCAAACTCCAGATCTACCTGACAAAGAACCATGCCTTTATTTTCTTCTAATGACTGTAGCTATGGCATTATGCATACTTCTCCAGACTTTTTTTTTTTTTTAAGCTTTTAGCACTGCTATAGGCTTGTCAGGGAAACTACAGACCAGGCTCCATGAACTGCTCCCTGGACTCAACATAGATGATATAATGCAGACACACATGCATGTCCATGTAGCACCCTCTTAGGTTGCATATGACTTTCCTTTTTCAAGAAAAATTGGCTGTGGCCTCACTGACATTTAGGGAGACTTAGAGCAGAAAAGATGCTATTCTCTGAAAAGAAATCATTCTTAGTACCCCTTTTTCCACTCATCCCCAAAAGATGATTGGCCAATTCTACATCAACTAAAACCTTCAAGACAGGACAGTTTTCTAACCCTCATGGCAAAGACTCACTGTTTTAAGTGATCCCAATGGATCTTCCCAACTCTTGTGTAGATTTGGAGGCTACCAAAGAGCTTTTCCATTGGGTTAGCAGAGTTGTTCTCTCCTGTCATCAAGAATCTGACCATCGTTTGTTCCCTTTCTCCAGAGAAATGGCACACATTGTTAAGCAAAGCGGCTATAGTCCTAAAGAATACATTTGCTTCAGATGTGCATAGCAGCTGGCCATGTGTGTTCATCCTCCCCTCACTTAAATAAAATACTCCTCCTTGGACCTCTAGGATGACGGTCCCAGGCAGCTCAGTAGTCCCATTAGTGGCCATCAGTGTAGCTCAGGCCCCATCCTATCCCTGCAGCACCTGAGGGAATGACAGCCCTCCTGTTTGGTTTAGAATGCTCATATTCTCATTTATTCAAGTATATTTTCATTGCAAATGTATCTGTTAACTGTATGAATTGGGAACATAACGAAAATATGAACTGGATTTTTAAAATCTTTGTATCCAGACCATCTAGTGTTTGCCTAAATTCCTTCAGTACACAGTCATAAACAGGAAGCCCTTGGGTCAAATTCAGTTTGTCCTGCACAATGATTTGTTTTTGAACTGTTTATTGAAGTGTATGTTACCAAAAAGAAACCCATATCATAATGGTACAACTCAATTAATTTTTACAAAATGACCCCAATTAAGGAATTCCAGCACTCCAAAATCCCTCCTGGTACTCCTCAAATTGCAGCCTGAGGTCAGCACCATAGGTTATTTCCTGAACATTATGTAAATGGCATTCTGTGCATTCTGTTTTGTGTCTGGCTTTTTTCATTCAGTGACATGCTTTTGAGATCCATCCATGTCATTGTGGTACATGGTAGTTCATTCTTATTACTGTATAGTATTCTCATATATGAATAAGCCACAAATTGTTTATATATTCAACTAGGTTAATTACCTTTTGAAGAGCTATTATGAACGTTCCTCAATCTATCATTTGGGGGTCATATGTATGTATTTTTGTTAGATGAAACTTCTGTATTTAAAAATCATAAGATTTCAACTTCTCTTCAAAAAAATCACGCTTTGCCAGTCTGTGATTTCTAGTTTTGCATGGCAACTGTTGTCTTTGGGACATGTGTTTTTCAATTCTCTGCTCACAAGATGTTGTCCACGTCACCCACCCAGGACACTCCTCAGTTGAGTTGCCTGGATGGCCTTTCTGGGTGCAGTTTGCTACCTATGTCTAGAGAGATGGGAAGCAGTTCCTATAAGATTGTGTTTCTAAAGATATGTTACACCTACTTTCCTTCTCCCCACTGTGAGACTTAAGCTAGTTTTCCTCTGATATTTTGCTTCGATCTTTGGTCAGAGGGCCTAGGGAAAGAAATAGGCCCTGGAATACGATGCTGGGGTTAGGGGTAGTATATTTGGCTTATTCATTCTGTTCTGCAGATAATGTGGTAGAGGTGCGGGCCTCAGGCCCAACCCTCCACAGTCTTGGGCCTGTGGCATGGAAAGCTTTGCCTCATATTTGCCAGAGATGGTGCAGCAAGCACGAACATGCCATCTGGGAAGAAACTGGAGTTTATCCCCACCCTTTTCCAGGTTATCATTCCAAACAAAACAGTACACTTCTTCTTCCCTTAAGTATTATGAGGAGAAAAATCTTCCATTATTGTTTCCTAAAGGGATCCTATGGAGGGGACCTAGTTCTTTTCTCCATGCTTGTTTGTTGTTTGTTATTTTTATTGTTTGATTTTTGCCTCATTGAGCCTTGGTCTAAATATTGAAGAACTAGTTGCATTATAACAATATCTTTAGGAATCACAAATAATCTATATTATGTTGCAAACACAAATTATAAAACTGAAAAAGTAATATTCTCAGTACTGACAGTTTATGAATAAAAATATTGATTGCTGGCCGGGCGCGGTGGCTCAAGCCTGTAATCCCAGCACTTTGGGAGGCCGAGGCGGGTGGATCACGAGGTCAAGAGATCGAGACCATCCTGGTCAACATGGTGAAACCCCGTCTCTACTAAAAATACAAAAAATTAGCTGGGCATGGTGGCGCGTGCCTGTAGTCCCAGCTGCTCAGGAGGCTGAGGCAGGAGAATTGCCTGAACCCAGGAGGCGGAGGTTGCGGCGAGCCGAGATTGCGCCATTGCACTCCAGCCTGGGTAACAAGAGTGAAACTCCGTCTCAAAAAAAAAAAAAAAATATATTGATTGCCATAAAAGGAACTTCAATGCAAATTTATTTTCATTTGGACTTATATAGTTCTAACCATTGTGAAAATAAAAATAAATAGCCTAATCTAAGCCCTCATATGATTTCTCACAATCTTTCCAGAACTTCTGGTCTAAACATGGACAGCAGTGGTCAAAGTCCAAACACAAATAAGAACAGGAGAGGACCGTGGAACTGTCTCATGCAAATAAAAGATTAATTGACAGAGTCTCACTCTGTCACCCAGGCTGGAGTGCAGTGGTATAATCATAGCTCAAACTCCTGGGCTCAAGCGATCCTCCTACCTCGACCTCCCAAAGTGCTGAGATTATAAATGTGAACCACCTGCATGCAGCCCAGATGAAAAGGTTTGATAGATGAGGCAGGAGTTATAGGAGCAGCATGTGTCGGGGATACATTGTGGGACACACACACACCTGCCAAAACATAGGCAGTTTGAATTTTCTGATGTTCTTTTGCCAGTCTTTGGTGTCCTTCACATTCTAAATGAATTGGAATAAATCGTACAATGTTCTCTTGCAGTAATAGCTACAAGGAAGGCTGTCCACCCATCCATTCATTCAACGAATAGTGTAAGTGCTATGGAGAGAAGCAGGATGGGGGTGGGGGTGTCAGTGGTGCCCTCGCTGTCAGATGACAGTCACGGGACCTGTGGGCTGTGAGAGAGTTAGCTGTGCCATGCAAACACCCACTTTAAGAATATTCTAGGCCGTTGAATCCTAGGATGTAAGTATGCATAACATAGGGTTTTTCATAGAGTAGATGTTTACAAAAGCTTCTGTGAAGGGATAGATGATTAAGATTTCATGGGTTTTAATGTTCGAGTGTCCATCATGGTAGACTAGGCACTTTGATTTCTAATGAATTTATCTTATACTGTACATTGTGACCCATGGGCAGTATTCAGCCTACAGATTTTTCACAGTGTATATAGTATTTTACAAAACTAGGAAATTTGATGTCAAAGTCCAGATTTACAATGTATTTTGAAAAATATGAACTGGAAAAGCTAACCCTGACATCCTATGTGACTGCGATTTGCTGAGCATGTAGACCCTTCATGGTTCTCTGCTGCCCTGACCTTCTCTTCACAGCCCTTCTGTGCAGGGACTGGCTTCTGCTATGTCATCTGGCTGAGTTCACTCTGCCATCATACTTGAAGTTTCTAGTTCTGAAAAATGAATTGTAATAAATTGTCACTGAATTTTCATTCAGTTGAATTTATGAAAAATGAAGGACTTACACAATTTCATTTATTATATTTTATATATGTCGATTTTTTTTTTTTTTTAAAGACAGAGTCTTACTCTGTCACGCAGGCTAGAGTGCAGTGGCGCAATCTTGGCTCACTGCAACCTCTACGTCCTGGCTAATTTTTGTATTTTTAGTAGAGACAGGGTTTCCCCATGTTGGCCAGGCTGGTCTCAAACTGCTGACCTCAGATGATCCACCTGCCTCAGCCCCTCAAAGTGCTAGGATTACAGGCATGAGGCACCATGCCCTACTGTGTCAAATATTTTTAACGAATGTCTGAAGTCAGTTTGCTTTGAGCAATCTGTACAAGTAATGGTTTTGTTCTAAATAAATTTGTTGCCTCTTTCCACTGAGCAGACCTGAGAGCAGTTAGCACATCTAGCTTCCAGATCTGTGTTTCTAAATACTGTTTCCCAATAACAGAACCAGGACTCCTTGGAGAAATGGCGCATAACAAGCCTGGGCCAGAGAAGTATAAGGTGTCTGAAAAAGCTTCTTGTACCAATAAGTGTAAAAGTGTGGAGAGTTTACAAAGGACTCAGGAAAGGACCATAGAAGCCACCATGAAAGGGCAGTTTGACGATCCAAAGAATAAATGACAGTGGATTATAACATATACGATACTAAATCCTTTTTATAATAACAGAGAAAAGAGGGTTAAAAGGATCAGAGTTTTTTCTTACAGAAGAATGTCAACTAATGAATGCAAAAGGAATAACAGAAAATCACCAAGAGTGAAACCTCGAATATAATAATTGATTTAAGAAAAGATAATCAAGGGAAGCTAAAACAATTAAGTTAGCCTGGGCAACACAGTGAGATCCTGTCTC